GATGATCACACGACTGGCATATGCACATCAAAACAATTGACGTCATTCGCGAGTGATTCTCGACGCATTGATCTGCCGACTGAATTTTGCATGAGTATTTGAGCATCTGAATTACACAGGTTGCACACACAGATCAATAATGTGATTGTTCAATTCGTTTTTCACTCGACCAAGCTAACTCTCCTCTACGTCAACAATCCCGTCTGCATCAATACTGTTCTTTCTCACTTTGTTGTATTCTCGCATATTTCGCAGTTGATTATTGATGTTCCATCACCAGCAACATTTAATTAAATACATCGAAAGTGATAGCCACAAACATTCTTGCTTGGAATTAGTGATACTCTTTCGGAAGTTTCAGTTGAAAGTGCGATTTTAAGGCAGCGCCCAGAAGAATTTGCAATGATTTGCGTTACAATTAGCCAATTTGCAAAAGGATTTATGAAAAGATAATGGTCGAAAATTTGTTTCACGATCAACTGAACTTGCTGAAATCCTTCATCTTCTAATTTTCAGATTGCTTTGAAACTTTAGATTTGTATGGTTCCTCAGAAAAAAAATGAAATAAAATTTTTCTGCGATTGTGAGATGTTTGCTTACATGTTCGCTATAACTCCATTCAATAATAGTTCAACTCAAGCTCACAAATCATCTCTCTTGCGACTATTTTGCACCGAAAATAAACTAGCAGCCCGGCGTTCAATACCATCAAGGAATATGTGAATGATATCACCCATCCGAAACCTGAAATGATTTTCTGCACTGCAAATTTTAAATTTACAGTTACTTCGACATTATGTTCATAATTTTTCACAGAACCATTTCAACACCAATCGAAAGAGATTCTTGGAACTAATGATCTTCTTAATTAATTGTAATTTAAGGATGCTGATAGCAACGATAGTAAATCCTACAAAAAACCTCCAAACTAGCCACCTGAATTTGTCAAAAGTCGTGTATGAGTGGCATAGTATACCGTACATTTGCACAATGATTAATTGTTGTAAGTGGAAGCGAATTCAGTGGGAGGGATTCACTTAATCCAACTAATGAAATGGTAATCGAAGTTCAATTTTGCAGATGCTTCAATTCTTCAATTATCTGAAATCCTGAGAGGATTTTGATAGCTTCAATTTTGCAGATGCTTCCACCATCTATTCGAAATCGTTCACTGAATGAATAACTGCGCTTCTTTCAAGCATCACTACCTAGATGGGGCTGTTTATTATCATGACAAATACCTCCATGAAATCGTTCTGATACAATCGCTCTAATCCGTGAATTTAACAAGATATCATTAGTTCACTGAACACACTCACCCATAACTGATCAATTTGCCGTGCTATTTTCAGTCAGTTCATAAAACTTTTGAGTCTTCAGTGCAGGAAATGCTTTCTAGGCCAATCGTTGTCCTTATTTAAGTGACAATCCTAATATTTCTCGGACTATTTTCCGTGAATTTACTAGTGACTAAAAAAGAATACCTTTATTCATGGTGGTATTTGCACTTATACAATTTGTTATCATGTTTCAGTATTACAATAGCACTGAATAGCAATACTGAGGAATACCGTCTGCTCATTAGAGTATGTAAATCGAAATGTCATTGCTTAATTTTTGTGTTGCTTCACTTGATCGATAATCTTACCTGTAGTTTTATTCTCGTCGTGACGATATGCAAATCACTATCCTCATTCGTGCAAAAACAGAGATCAATGAGAACTCTCATTATCTGTCTTAATTTATTGAATTTCAGTAATACGAGGTGCTGACCACACCAAGCAGCTGAAAAATTGTTTTGGGAGCTTTTCAAGAGATCGGTCAAAATCTCCAGTAAGTTTCGTCGATGACTTTTTAAATCATTAATATTCATTTATCTTAATTTCAGTTTTTTTCCACGGACTGTCATTATTTTCATTTTGTCCCACCCATTCCAGATTCAAGCGAGACTCAGTCAAATTGTGGTCCAATATTCTCTATTTTCAAAATTTCAGGAATCCGGAATTCTTTTCGTGCCTCTCTTTCTAAAACTCTCAGACATCCTTCGATAGTTCCATTCTTCTCGAACTTTTTGATATCATCATCCTTTTTAATCCACAATACTAATTCGATGAATTTCAGGTTTTTGGAGAATTTTGAAACAATTTAGCAGCGCAACAACTTCTTTATTGGATTTTTTATAATATGTAAGCTTTAATTGATACCATTTCATTATCTTTTGCATGCATCTCTTCAACATTTTAATTTTCATTTGATTACATTATATTTCATATTCCATTGCATTGTTATCTGTGGAATACTTTGCACTGTTGATATGTTCCTATCGTGATATCGTTTGTTACACACTGATATGTTCTTCATATTTCATTTAATCGTATACAAATCCGTACATACTTTATTCCATTATGCATCTCTGCAAAATCACCGAATTAATCCAGATAATACTCAGTAATGCTTGTTCGTAATCATGTCTTTTCGAGTTGATTTATCTGCTGACTCCAAGCATACATCTTGCGCGTTTTCTATTGACGAGTTCTGCTTGAAAATGAACACGCAACTCATTCCATTCTATCGAATCACCCAAAATTTTTGCTGACATACTCCATGATGTTATACTGAAGCATTCTGCCACAAAAATAATTAAAGGTAATGATTTCATTAACGTTTGCGCAACATTTTTGCCATAAAGTTTACAGAAAAAATTTCAAATTGAATTTAAACACCAAAACTTTTTGATGTTTTGCTTGATCACTTTGATATCGCTTTCCAAAGTGAACATACGAGCGATTTGCCAACTGAATTGACTGATCATCCACATCGTTCATCGTAATTGCATTCAAATATTGCATGCTTACTATCTTACTGAAATTCAGAGGCACGTTTGAGTTTTTGATAAAAAGTTCGGAAAAGTTTGTACGAAATTTACACGGCAATATATAGCCGTTTTGGAAATTCATTGTGAATTGATGGGTATATTCCGTGTTACGGAGAAACAACGTCTGATTATTTCCTCATCAATGTCCACCTTGAGCATACAATTTTCGAACTCTGTTATTGTCTTGAATCTCATTGAAGGATATCGTAAGTCCAAAGTTTCGAAGAATCTGAAACATGAAAGCAATGAAGCGAAACATTTTCGATTAGAACTGCGCATTCAATTGGCGACTGATTTGCTCTGGACCCTGCTCGCTTTATGCGAATACAAATATCGGGAGAAAAGTGAAGGTGTCAGTAAATTACGGCAATCAGAATGACTGTCGTAGCAAACAGGAAAAGTTGTAGACTGGATAATGAAATTCCTTACATATATGGAATCTCCTTACCCACCCATATCTCAGTCCCATTGTTGATGAAAATATCACCTCTACTGATTATTGCAATAATATTTAGAAGTACTTCACTTAAGATACACATTCAGATAATGAGGTAACGGGGTCTGGTCAAATACGAGTGGTGAAGGGAGGAGGTTATGTTTGGAACTAATATACCTACAAGTAGATATTTTAGTTACTGAAGTTTTGTGAGACTGATATCATGAATAAATTACACATTTCTGATTATATTCCAGGGCTATTCTATTTATACCAAAATTGATCATGTGTCAAAATTGACTATACATGTCAAAACTAGGTATATCTTGATATTATAGGAAGAATGGGTATGTGCATGGTAATCATTACTCATTGCTTGATCTTCTTCCACCCCCTCCCCCCTCTCCACAACTGATGACCAAAATTGGCTTCGTAGAATTGGCGAATAGATTCGAAATTAGTTTGCCGTGTTCCACATGATGATATAAATATATTTTGTTTCGAAAATTTCACAAATATTAGAATTACAGTTTGGTAAATCGAATCGGCCTCCCAGTCCAGCTTCTCGGAACTGTTTCCCTGTGGCTTGTCGACTTGAGATATGGCCTACAGCTGCAAATCAGAACAGATGTTAAACTGTATGTCGACTCAACTCACGAACATCCGTAAAAATATAGATTTCTTAGGAAGTTGCAAAACTTTACCAGCATCATGATGTTGCGAAAAATAAGCTTACCATGCAGATGAAAATTGACGAGGTAACTTGAAAAGCAGTAGCTCACTAAAATGCTAATGAAAGAAAATGGCGTAAGTCATCGCTAATTTATGCAGGCAGAAATTATTTTAGCATAACCTATCGCTGCAAATTTCAGCAATGCAGAGAAGTAGCGAGCTATCGCACTACAGGAAGATGCAGTTCCGCTAGCAGCTGAATCATGAAAAACGCGCTATTGCCTGCTACGAAAAAAATGCAATCTGTCGAAATGAATTGAGTCTCGTAAATTTGAGTAAGCTTAAGAATTCATCAATAGTTCAAAAATATAATGACTCCAATCTTCTTATAATTAAACATCTCCGCAATGAAGTATGTGTTCCTAATCCTGTTACACTTATTCGCATTTTGATTTTGTTGTAGTTTCATAAAAATTCGTTTATTTTTGTCAAGCTACAGCAAAATTTGGTCTCATTTGGAGAGGTTTTACTTTGAAAATGAATCCGCCAAATGGGAACACGCTCTAAGTGCTAGTAAAATGTCTTCACTCTGTAGTGTTTACAGTTGTTCCTAATTACTTGAGAAAATTTCGGCATGCATATGATCATGAGGAACTTGCTGAAGAGAGCCTCAGAAACTAAAGATCTAAGCGCATGAATTCTGAAACCGCTTAGGTTGAAGACAGCGGCGACAGCGAAATCTATAACAATCATCTCCTGTAGTCAATTACCTGCTCTTATTGTATGCGATTCTCAGCCGCTTGTCATACGGAGATATCCGATGATGTTGATGGTGATGCAATATAATTGACAAATTGAAGTATTATAATGATTGTCCAAACATAATTGACTACGTAAGACATGGAAACATACGTGATGAACTGTAACCAGAATCTACTCGAAATTTTACTGGGATTTTGTAAAACGTGATGAGAGATAAGAAGAGGATTGATTAAACGGCATTTTCAGTTGAATAAAATGCCGAGAAGTAGCAGTGATAGAAGAAGCAGCGGGAGCAGACGCAGGAGTGGGAAAAGGGACCCGGTTAACGAACGGGACGTGAGGTTTAAGAATTTTGCGAGGCGCGTGTTGGAAGGAGTTCCGGGTCACCCGGAGTCGAGGATGGTGGAGGACGATTTGCAGTATGGGAGTCGCGGAAAAGTCTACTGCAGCAATTTGCTGCAGGTACTGGGGGTTCTGAGTATGATGCCCAATTACCTGGAATTGGTTCGGTGGGTCGACGAGGGATGGCCGCTAACAATTGCCCAACTGCCACCCGAACTGGGTGGCCATTCAATCTGTAAGTTTATTTGCGATTGCACGAAATAATAATTTTATCATAGATTATTAACTCATGTATTACTACACAATGTATCGAGTACATGAATGGATCAAATGAAAAATTTTTTTGAAATCACCGAGTCTCGTCAGTTTAATCGAGGATATGTGTCTGATGTTGAGATGAGCGCAAAATGATCGATTCAAATAATAAGAAGTTGATAGGATTAATGAATGTTAAACAGATAAGATAAGAAATCCTCATAGAACCTTGTGAATGCGCATCAAATAATAATTGTTGCCCAATTTCAGTGCAAGCTTTTAGAGCAGGGGCACCCTCCCCCCTGCTCATCGAGGCCATCTGCCGGATGATGGGGATCCAGCTCCTCATCTACCATGCCGACGTCCAAAACCAGAGGAGCTGGAAGTACGGCGTGACCGGGGCGGTATTTCAAATAATACGAGAGGCGGCCGACCGGTACGCCGTATTCCTTGGGGAACCGACGCTCCAAGTGAGTTCCTTTAATGATACTTTTCAGTTAAGTTCTTCAACAAATTCTTTCCTAGCAATGGTTATAATGACAATAATCTGATTCAGGAAGTTTAGATTTTATAATAATAACAACAATAATAATAATAGTGATTTGCAACAGAAATTTTGATGCAATGAATAGTCAAAATAATTACACAATATTTTTCAGTATGTCGATTCCGAATTATTCGAAGACGAAATGGAACTTTGGCAAGTCCCAGTGCCAGTCGACGTAAGTGAAGTTGAATGAAATTTTGATTGATACTTCAGAAATAGTTGATGACCTTTAGACTAATTCAAATGGAAATACTGCAGATATTATCGAACGAATAATTTCTGAAGTGAACGAGATTCACTTCATGAAGAAGTCGGTGTTGATGAAAAAATACCTTCATGATGTTACCAACATCGCAGTTGAATTTTCTTGTGGAATATTTTTCGGTGTTAAACAAATCATTCTATCAGTCGCAAACTGTACCAGTGGCTAAACTGAGGAAAAAAATTATTGCTTTCAGCTAAGAACTTCGAATCAGTTCATGATCGAGTTGATCATTCCAGATGTTGGACCGTCGGGGACCCAACCCATCACCCGGCCCTCAGGAGGAGCGGCCCGCCGAACCCCTGCCACAGCCCGAGGAACCGTTTATGGGGATATTTTATGGGGGAGAAGAAGATGAGGAGGAACTAACAGATAACGACGCTAACCAACCCCAACCTAACGACAACACTAACGACGAAACTAACCCAACACAAGCAGAAGAGGGGCCTGCGCAGCCCCGTTACTTCTTGTAAGTTTTATCTTCTGAATTTAGTCGTACTAATATTTCAGTATTATTCATTTTGCAACATCTTTATCATTCATTTTGCAATGCGTTCGCAAAGTATGACAAACAATGCAAACTGAAAAATCAGAGATTATTGTGTTATGAAATACTTTTTCATATAGGAGTACACAGTCAAAGAATTTCTTAAAACTGACGGTAAATTAGAGTGAGGAGTTTATACTGCATATTTCGTATGGAAAGTACTGCTTACCTCATATGGACACACATTGTCTAATGAAATGAATTGCATTATGAATGAATCAATCATTTTCGCTCTGTATCATCGTAAGATGGACGTCTTTTAGGCGCAGGCCCCAGACCCCAAGGCAGCCGAAGCAGCAACGTGAGCCGCAGGTCTTCCGGCCGCACAACATCGAGCATTTGCGGCCGGAACATCAGGCCGAGCTAGCGGCACCAGATACGGAAGCGTATCACGTCGACAACAACATGATCTGTAAGTTTCTATTGACTGATCATTTTTCATTAAATCGTTTGAGGTAATCTTAATTGATTGCCTCTGAATTGATCGCCTTGAATATTCATTGAGTATAAGCCAGCTTTGAAGGTGAGAATAGCAAAATACTCAAACACTGAATTGAGTTTTAAAAAATTGATAATATGACAGGGTGATTAAATGTTCATTTTTGCTTATTATTTGATGTTTCAGGGTGCCGTCTAGCCGGATGTGCCAGGCCCGACCAGCCATTCAAAACGGTCCGGGCCTGGAAAATTCATGTGCAGAGGGCGGCTTGTCACCGTCGCCAAAGTATGTTATCAATTTACGCACTCTATTCAATTTTTCACTTTGAACTATTCTATTAAGAATCTTCAATTCCAATGAAATATCTATAAGAAGCCTTTGAACTTCTCTTATGAAGACTTGAGAAGTGATATTGTTCCACTATGGTTCTGGATGGTTTAAGCTGAATTAATGGAATCACTCATTTATATGACCGTTGAAAATCAATCCTTTACAAGCCAACTCAAGCTGAATTTTCAGCCCTCTGCACTGCCTGCGGCCACAACGTGGTCTTGCCCCCCTCGGCGCACCTTTCGGCCGCCGAAATCAAAGTCATCATGGACGCCCACAGATCCGAAAGGTGCGTCGGCGTCTCCAAAAAGGCCTTGGAGACGCGAAAAACCGCTGCCGAGCGTCTAATGATTCTGGGCCGTGATAACTCGCATATCGCGGTCCCAGATGAGGACGCAGAAGAGGTCCAGGTGCCGTCAAATCCTCGCAAGAGGCACCTGGCCTCCGAGGCAGCGTGGAGGGCAGACCAATGCTGCCAATATCTCAAACGATTCAAGGACGACCATCCCGATTTAATGGAACAAATCGGGATGGAACACCAGCTCAGATTCGACTAATGGAACGTTGCGAGAGGACCAACAGCGGCACACAACAAATGTATCAGCTTAACCGGATGACGACTCCAGCACCAAAACTCACCAGCAACTAACGGTTACATTCACTTCAATCTTTTAAAATTTTTGCGATGGAGCGAAATACCTCAATGAGATATGACAGCAAAAAGCGAATTGGTAACTATGAAGATGAATACATAAACATCTCAGAACATTAGGTTAGGTTTAACAATAGCGAAACGAGTTGTTAGAGCGAGCATTATGAGCCTAGGAAAGGGAATGAAAATAGAACGTGTTAGAATATATGTTATGTGTTATTGTGCTTATCGTTTTGTATTATTTTGTTATTTGATTCATAATGTTATGTATGTATAGTATTATATTAGTATTGTTATCATTATTATCAAGTCGTATCATAGTTTATATTGTTAACACAATTACTTCGTGTAAATGCCATTTGACATGTTTTTAGTTATTTTTGAATACCTCATAGTTCTTGAGATTAATTTATGATTGCTATCATACATTATCATCTTATTGCAATGCAATCTCGTCCATCAATCGGCGCTTCAACAGTATTTGTTCTAAAAAATCAGATGAAGTTGACAATTTTCGAGAAAATGAAAATTTTGCATCAATCAGATGCAGAAATCTGGCAACCCAAACACGTAATATTATCCAGTATCTCGGTGGTGGCTCAATTGCGATTAAAAAGACCAGGCCTAGAGCGGTTGATCATTTTAGGTCAGTAGGGATGAGAGAGATATGCCCTTCAAAATTCCTTTCCGATAATTTGGGCATCCATATTTCATTGTAGAAGGGGAGTCATATGGCGGTTATGCCAGCTCCTCAGCGCCGCAAATGGAGGGTAATAGTATTGGGTAATATTTATAATATTGTAGTCATCGTATTGAATCGATGCTACAATGGGTTCGGGATTATGGTGCTACAAGAAAAGTACTCTGGGTAAGGGATTAGAGTACTTCGGGTTCGGGAATTATGTTCATTTGTGGGTTCGGGCTATGAGACAAATACCTCCATTGGCGCTTAATGGGTTGGGAAATTATTATAAGTAAGTAATTACTGTGAAGGATGGTCACCACTCGAAGCCAGGTTTGAGTTCGCCTTAAACCACTGAGAAACTAGCTGGTCTAATAAGAGAAACAAAATTTGGTCGGAGAATATTTTCAAGAGCTATTGAGGAAGATGACGGAAATATTAGATAAAAACCCCTTCAAAAGAGAATGAAAAGGGAAACTCGAAAGATCACTGTACGAAGCGCCGAACAGTCGACTCGAAAATCAACGGATCGAACTAAACAACAAATGAAGCCAACGAAGAATTTAAGAAAATAAATTGAAAAAAACAAAAAAAACAAAAAAATAATAATAAATCAAAAAAACAAAAAAGTAATAATAAAACAAAAAAAACAAAAAAAAANAAAAAAAAACAAATAACCTGAAAAAATTATAAAAACAAAAATTAATTCGAAGACAAATTGAATTTTCAAGAAAATTTTGCACTTGTAAATGTGACATATGCTTTTATACTCACTTAGTGATATTGTCTAACTTATTGACTTTATTCATTGTTAACCGTTATCGTCCTCGTTTCTGCATGAAAAGTCCTTGTGCTTGTCCTTGTTATGCATGAAATGTCCATTGTCTTTATTTCACACAGTTTGATATTGTTAATCAGCTTACGTTCATTTAACTTGTGAAAATGAATCATTATTAGACCATGTATTGTTAGCAAAGTTGTTATTTCTGGAGATAATTGAAATTTATATTTGAATTTGTATTGAACTTGGCGTTTATTTTTGTATTTAACAAAACTTGAAATGTAAAAAATTTTTCACTTTAAAATGTGAAATTAGTTTTTTACACGCTTAGTTATATTGTATAACTTATTTACATTATATGCTGTTGACTTTTATCGTCTTCGTTTTGCATGCAAAGTCCTTGTGCTCGTCCTCGTGTTTGCATGAAACGTCCTTTGTCCTCAGTTAACATAGTTTGATATTATCACTAAGTTTATATTTACTTAACTCACTAAATAGGGTCACTATAATATTGAGCATTGTTAGGAAAATTGTCATTTGCAGAGACAATATTTGTGTTGGTATTATCGCTAATTGTATGTGTATTGTATTTGGATTACTTGTATTTCTTATTTGTGATTACGATTGATATTGTCTTATTGGGAACTGATATGTGTTTAAGTAATTACTGAGATCTGAAAAACTAGCGTTCAGGAAGAAGAATTGAGAACATTCATAAACCTAAGAACGTAAATAGCATTACTATTACAAAAACTGAGTTTAACAATGCTCGCTCTTAGCATAAGGAGGTATCGCTCTCATTGCATATAATTTCGAATTGAAATTTTAATTATTACTGATCATATTGCTGGTGAGGAATTGGTTTCTTTAAATAATGTAATGGTATTGTATCATGTTTTATGATATGCTTTTTGTGCCGCTGTTGTTCCTGTTCCCTGAGCTGGTGTGGTCCTTGAATCGTTTGAGATGGCTGCCCCCCCCCTGATGATTGATGAGTCCCCTTCTCCCACATCCCAGAAACCGTTGATTCTAACTTAGATTAGCATTTCTTAATTTAACTTTAACTTAATCTAACTTACATTAACCTTAACTTGTTTCTTTACTTTTACTCACTTCTCCTCGGGCTGTGGTTAGGTAACAGAATCTAATGAGATGAGTGAGATAACTGATTTACTTATTGTTAGTTTTCCTCGGGCTGTGGTTAGGATAGGATAGTGACAAAATTGTGGTTAATGATGTCCGATTAGATGGAATTTCCGGTTGCTTAGGACTTACATATAGCATATTAAGATTGGGCGATAAGATGACTGATTACCCCCGTTCCTCGGATTAGGTGATAAGATTACTGATGGCCTCCATTCCTCGGATTAGGTGATAAGATAACTGATTGCCCCCATGCCTGTAGTGAATTGTTGTAGTAGATTTTCCGCACTCCCTTACTGCAAATCGCTCGTCCCCATCCTCGGCCCCCGGTGATTCGGTCTCCTTCCTCGCGCGTAGTTGGTGGTGGTGCTGTAGGTGGGTCCCGTTCGTAATCCCGGTTTGGTGTATGGTGGTGTGATGGTTGGTGCTGCTTCTGCTACTTTCTCGGTCATTGTACTTGTTGCTGCTGCTCCTTATTATTTCTATTATTTTATTATTATTATCATGTTGTTGTTGCGCATCGTATTTCCATTATTATTATTATTATTACTATTATTATTATTATTATTATCATTTCGTATTTTATTATTATTATGATTATCATTATTGTTATTTTTATTGTTATTGATATTATTATTAGATTATTATTGTCATAGCATATTATCGTATCATCCTTTTTTTAAAATCAATTATTATTTTGTTTTACGGTTATTATATTATCATCGTCAATTCATCATACTAGTATTAATTCATATTTCTTTGATTTATTCATTGTTTTCGATTCATTGTTTTCGATTGTTTTCGATTCGTTTTTGTGTGTTTTCATTTACTGCGACGTTCGATTTTCTCAATGATCAATTGACTGAATTTTGATTTGAAGTTGAAGATTGTTAGTTGAAATTTTGAAATGAGTGGGAATTTCATTGAGAATAATTCGAGCTATTTGAAATTGATAGGATTTTTGAGGATTGATTCGAAGATTTTTGCATTCGAATTGTAGTTGAGATATTTTGGTTGGGGTGTTTAAACAGTCAATTGGTTTGGTAACTACACGTGCATTGCCGTGTAGCAATCGAATAGTCAGTTAATTTTCCTCTGTTACTAGCATCGTTATATGTTCATATTTGCTAATATTTCATTGTTTGAATAACTTTTAAAAAGTGGAAAAAAATCCAAAAATACAAAAAAAGAGAAAAATTAAAAAAAAACCAAAAAAACAAAAAAAGAAAAAAACCAAAAAAGAAATTAAAAAAAACTAAAAAGAAATAAAAATTAAAAAAAACAAAAAAATAAAAAAAACAAAAAAATAAATAAAATAAAAAAACAAGAAAAAAATAAAAAATAAAGATTAAAAAAACCAAAAAAATAATAAATGAATAAAAACAAAAAATAAACAAAATAAAAAAAATAAGTAACAAAAAATAAAAAACGCAAAATTAAAATTAAAAAACAAAAATAAACGAACATAAAAAGAAAGAAAATAAATTTAAAAAAAAAACAAAAATCACGCATTTTCAGGTCGTAAAAATCATTTACCTTCAGACTCAGCACCTAATGTTGAGAACTCTCAGATAAAGATGACTGAATGAACAATCGAGAGACATGAAGCGAGGAAAGGAATGGACAAAATGGATCGAGAGACGAATTGATGCGGGATATTGGACGACATTCGAGGTGTTAGGCGAGAAGAACTGGTTGACCGCAAAACAGCGTTTTGCATATATTGATATGCAAAAGGCTTTGCATATATTGATAGAGCCTTTTGCCTTTTGCATATATTGATCATTGCAGATTAAGGATAGCATCCGATGGAAGTTCGGTCGAAAAATCCGACGACTTTCAGTCGGAGTGAACATGATAATCAATAACAACGAATGAGCACTGATGGCATTCGAATAAAATTTAAGTTCGGTCGGGATCCGATTGAATGCACTTTCGGAATTCCGAATAACAAAGTTCTGGCCGAACTTCAAAATTCAACGGTCAGAATCCAAACCTCGGAATTCCGAAATTCCTTGCATTATTACGACCGAACGTCAGTCGGATGCCATCACAACGAATGTGTGAGAACTTTTATAATATGAATTAATATGGAAATTACTATAAAATCATTGAATTCTTCAATTAACTGAGACGGCTGGATTTAAATTTACCAGTTTCAATGGAAGCAGTATTTCAGAGGTGGTGGCGGGGTCGGGAGGGTGGGCCATCGCACTGAAGTGAGAAAATTGAGGGATTTTTTTCAGCTTCCTCATTGATTTTTCACGCTACCAGAAACAAAATTTTAAATAACATTCATCTGACGTCTAGACAAACGCATTTTTTATTCGACAAAAAATAACGACGGGATCAGTAGGAAAGATGATTTTCAGACAGATTTAAGGTGATTCTTCTTCAGCGGATTGGTCTTCGAGGAATAGACTTTGTGTTTTCTGGATTGAGGATAGGTTTACGACGTCGGGTGGATGGGTTGCCACCATAGGTGGTGGCGGGTATGGTGGGATGGGAGAGGGCCGGATTTGGGCAGGGGAGGGTAGGTAGAGGTTTGGAATCAGTTCCAGGCCATTGCGGGTGGGTGGGTGGGTTTGGCCTGGGCTGATTTTGTTGTCTGTTATTGTTTCATTTAAATCATTCCATCCGATGGCGAGAAGCCATTGGATTCCACGATTCCAGTGGACGATAAGGTGTGACGATGGATGTCAGTCGAAGAAAGAAGAAGAAGAATCGATGATGGTCAGAATCCAAACAGATAAACCGATCAGAATTCAAGGAATCTAAAGTGATCCGGAATTCAGAATAACAGGATAACAGAATCCATCTGGTTAAATTTCTATATAAAGTTCACCGAAATTTTTCACACAAATCATGTGATTCATTGCGATGAACAGTGAAAAAAACAATTCTTAATGTTTTCTCATAAGTTTCTGAAGTTTTACTTCTGGCTCTCTTCATATCGTTATTCTTGCAAGTTCATCTGAAACGTAAGAGAAACGAGGAGCGTAAATATCCAAATGAGTCGGATGTGCAAAGCGATTCAAATCAACAGTCGATTAGGTTTACTTTCGTTAGTTTCCCTACTCATTAGATATAATTTGAATTGCTCTCTGAGATAATTAGTACTTTCTTTCAGCCGATTTCCTAGTTTTAAGAATATACACATCGTCTGATCAAAAAATTTCACGTATGTAATCTGAGAAACCATACCTTTGATGAGGGTCGTTAAATACTTCTCAGCTTCTATATGCGACAATGGTGTTGGCAGATTTGATGTACACTGCTGAGATGAGCATTTAGACGAGTCTAACAGGTCATGAATTGAACCGAAAACGAAACATCATGAAAGGTTTGTTGCAGAGCATGAACTTTTGCCTGTGAGCGTTAACGAATTGCAGCGGAGATGAACAAATATGTGTTAGTGAATAAAAACTAGAAATATATACCTCAAACCCCAAATCCTGTATTACGTTCGCCTCATAATGAGGTATTGAATGTGAACGATGGCTCACAGTAATTTGGCGCTGGCAATGAAGAACGACAAGACGTAGATTGGTCATTCGGAATGTGAGTATCATTGGTCATTGGATGGATGAATGAATCTAGGAGCGATGAATGTGTCTACCGTATGGAGGATATTCTGAACGAATCATAAATGTCGATGCAATGATTATTCATTCCATAAAACAAAATTCATGTATTCTTCACTAATGACAGTTTGCACGCTATCGCTGGTAAAAAGAAGAGGATTTATAAGACCAGTTGATGAAAAAAAAATAGAATTTGCTTTGTAATCAACGAATTTAAAAGTTTGTTGGATTTTTTGGTTCGTTTGCCGATGTTAGCAAAAAGCTTAAATTTATGGAAGCTAAAGAATGACAGTATTGAAACTATTTAAACAAGAAACTCCGTTTGATGGCGTAATATTTCAGTTCTTTCAGTTACTGCATGATTGCTGTTCAGTGATTTAACTCAAACATTCATTTGCATAATACAGCACACTTTATACAACGTCATTCTATCTGTCTGATAATCGATCATTGATTATGAAACTTCGCATTCATCAATGTTTTGACGTTCGTTATTCAACGAATTTGAAACGTGGCTGTATCCAAGCAAAACGGCAATATCATTGCAATATTTAGGCAACAACGTTCATGTGCTTTACACAGCTGCTTTTAGGCGTATTTGATGAACGTGAGAGTCGGGCGCCTTGAAAACATTGCTTAACAAGGTTGATGTTTGTCTGATTATGTAATATTTACATTATCCGAAAGTTTGATTTTTGTCATGTATTTTTTGATCATTATTCCATCGTCATTTCTATGTGACGGCTGAACTGATATTGCTGTTTTTATTATCAAAGTGTCCCAACATCCAGTGCATGCAAAGTGATTCATTCAGCTCGAGCGATCCAATAAATACGTTAGGCTGAATCATAAAACGACATGTAATCATGTCAACCTCCGCTAAATGAAATGCTTATCAAGACACTATTCGTATAGCTTTGTGATTAATCGGCCTTTGTTTAGAAAACATTTCAGTTCGTTCACTTGTTTATTGCTCGCGTTCCGAGGTTGTTCATTGTGGTTGAGGTTGATCAATTGAATGAAAGCAATGCTCCCATGGAGACGAAGACACTTTCCAATCATTGTATCCACAACAATTGCTTTCTGTGTTGTACAATACATCTTCATCAGTAAATTTCGATTCAGCTCAATACGGTGGGTAATTTGCAGTTCCAACAAAATAACTTTAATAAATTCTTGATCCATTTCAACTCCGAATACTCCGCATGTGATGTAATTTTGTAAAAAAGAGGGAGAAAATAAAACGAATGGAAATAGTCAGATAAATAGGCACAGCCGTGTCCATAGCTGCGACGCCCATATTAATTAATCATCCTTATCATTTTCATCAATCAATCTGCGTGAATCAAGAAAGTGGTGCATCAAAAGTTTTCATTCGCTCTTTTCCGCACTATGTTGATGATGTCATAATGACACCGTTCACGTACTTGGGAACGCAAACCAAACGTTTCATACAGACCCCAAAATAGAACGTTTTATAGGGTACCAACAGATACCGATAAATTCCCTATGCAGAACTGCTAATCTCTGAAGTAATTTGCTTTGCATCAATTCCAATCAAGCGATCAAATAGTTTATAAAGCACCGAACAAACTGCTCCCACCCTATGTAATCTTCGCAGCTGTGCCAATATACATGTTTACAACACGCATTTCACATATCTCATATAACCACTTAAAATAGCTAAAACTGGATTCATCTTCAAAGGAAGTCTGCTGCTCTTCAAAATATTCAAATGTCTACTGCCCTTCCTATTAGCTTCAGCGCGTTTTTATGCACAAACTTCAACGGAACAGTGGCTAAAACTCCAATGAATATTCTTTCTTGGTAATTGATTATGCTTGGAACAAGAGGTTGACGTTGTCAAGTGTCTATAGACGCTTATACATACCCGTAGTGCATAATAACAGTACAATCCTCAGTTTGCATGATTACATCTCAGTTTGCATAGTAACATAATTTTGCACCACAGATCGCGATTTGGGCTCATTGCTTTTGCCATCGACAGCAATCTGTTGAACTGCTTTCATTTCTGCGATTTTGCATATGATCGAACGATTTGCTAATGAAAAGTCCAGAAATCGGTTGATCAGAACAAAACCAAAATAATTATTTAGGAGAAAAACATTCTCAATTACCAATATTGCACAAGTGAATGTGTTCACCATTTCAAATAATCGAACAGCATTAACATTTCATCAAATTTCTGCTTCCCAACCTGCAGAAAGTCGATCTGAAATGTTTTGAAGAACAACCAATCACTGTAAATCCTTTGCAGTAGGGATTAATAAATGAAAACATATCTTTATTTGATTAAGATGGAATTCCAATTATGCATTGCAACTTTATAAAGAGAAACTGGATGAAGTAATTGGAAATATTGGCTTGATGGACGATGGAATTGACTGTGATAAACTGGCGAGTGAAAACACTTCTGAACTAGTTCGAGAAAGGGCGATGCGGTGGAAATATCATTTTGAAAATCGGAATGCTCTATTAAACATAACAGATCTCACTGAAAGGTAAGCAAGTCGATCGTTTGATGTCGATCTCATTGATAATTCTATACTATGAAGATTGAAGCAGCCAACACAATGAAGTTTTTATTATGAGCAGATTTCGGTGAGGTCAAAACTGGACCAGAGTGCCGAACTGAAATCGTGGAGAAGAGTCCATTGACCTCGAAAGCCCTAAATCCCCAAGGACCTCGATGCAATTTTAGTTATCAGCATCACTCAGGACTTGTACCGTTTATATAATTGAAGAATAAAGCTGGATATAAAGGTGACACACACTTTGACTGAAGGAAGTCAATTTATCGTGTTCGATNATACGAACTTGTAGCGCATAAGTTCTATTTGGACTATCAACCAGCTGCTTATTTCTGTGTCTATCAAAAAGTTCGTCAACGAGCCGTATCGCAACATATCGACAGTTTCGATGATCGACCTTATGCGAATTTACCTGGACCTGCAATGGCACGTGGCGTGAATCTCGACGTATGGATGAGGCGCTATTTTAACCCGAAGCCAGTGACGCGAGCACCTTGACTCGATATCTTGACTTATAAGTCCTCAGTCAGACACCACTTTCTTCGTTCACGAATACTTCAAAAGTTTTGGCTATAAGAGTAGATTGTGATGAAACCAGTGTGCTGCGGAGATCGGCGAATTTTGGCGACCCCGTCCCGGAGTTCTTGTCCCCGATTTTTTCGAGCCGAACGCATTCTCGGCATCCCCGACTACGAAATTTTGTCTCAGACCTTCCTGATCATCGACTTTTTCCGTCCCCGCAACACACTAGATGAAGGCTTAAAATCCAATGTTCCTATATAAATCAGAATGACATTCGAAAATTCTATGCAACCGCAGTTTGTTTAACATGAACGGTCATATTATTCATAGCTTTACAGATCAGATTGCTAATGAGCTCGTAAATTGTATATGTTTGATAATTTGAATAGTTTGTGCGTTAATTCGAATAGTTTATGCGTTAACTTTGTCTCTTGCTTACAGTATTTGAGGACGATAAATGAGTAAATGTTTGATAAAATGAAACGCATAAATAATTAAGCAGTGACACTGTATTTATTTGCTCAACAATCAATCAAACCTGAATCAACGAACGCGTAATTTCGACAACAACTACTACTGTAGGAAACAGGGAATCCTTGAAACGCTGAACACCAATACTCAACGTTAGTATTGAAACATAAAATATACATCAAATGAATAAAACGAAGTGTAACGTATCGTATACCACATTCGTCAAACATAACATGACAAGTTTATCCAGATATGTCGCGAGGTACCGTTAATGGAATAATTTGCTATAGTTGGTTTGCTCAGCTTCTTTACTAGAAGAGATCAGACATGAACAAGTGTTTGCACAGCCAAAGAAACACAAATAACGTTGTGGCCATTCTGAATGCTCTTGTGTTTTCGTGGCAAAACGTGGCTAAATGCATGCAAATCTTATCCTCTTTATTAGTCTGGCATTACATACTACTGTTCAGCTGGAGAGCTGAACGCTTTAAAAAAATCTTATTTTATTAGATCGTCAGTCCAAAATTGCGCTCTTAATCATTACCCAAAATTCGCTCCTCATTATCCGCATTCTTCATATTCACATGTTCCTTAATGTTTTGATCGCTTGTCAAATTTTTTGAACTTTCATTACACGCGAAGTTGCCTTCTAATTGCAAGCCATTCCCGAGAGATGCTTGAGCCGAATCCAAAAATGATATCATCCTGATATCAACATTTTTAAGTGTTACGCGCTTAAAGACAGCACTCACAATGTTCATTCAATATTTGGGTTTTGTTCCGACAACATTTCAGATATTGAACTAATTATTGTTACTGTTTCAAGTTAGCCTAATGTGGTCAGGTTTAATCAGGGCAATGACCCCATGGGACACAAAACAGCTTCCAATCATCTTGTCCGCAATGGTTGTTTTCTGTGTCGTACAAGTCGTCCTCGTCAGTAAATATCAACACACCATAATAGAGTGAGTAGTTCGTAGTTTCAAGAGAATAATTTTATGGGCTGCAGAAGTGAATTCTTCGCTCATTTCAATTCCAAATACACATGTATTATAATAAACAAAAACGAATGGATAAATAAATAGAAGCGTGTCGATAGCGTCGACGCTCATATTATGTTCTAATTTTCATAAGTGAATCCGTAAATCAAGAAAGTGATACATCAGTAGTTGTCACTTCTATGTGCCCTTTGTTGATGATATCATGAGGACACCGCCTGATACCTGATGTGCACATGCTTATCAGCAACTGTGAAACAAGTTGAATATTCACTGGAAAAAAACATTTTAAAGAATGATTTCTTCATAATTCAAATTGTTCAGCCTTTCGAAAATCCAAACAAAGTGTGACAGCAATGAAACAATGTTCGCTTTAAACCTAGCATTAAGTCAATCTTAAATTCCTTGATGACCTCGATGGAATAACCCTTAGTTGCTTTACAATTCGAATTTTCAAATGGGCATCATGTATCTTGATCTAATTGAGATGGAATTACGATTATGCACGGCGGGTCTACAATGAGAAGTTGCATGTGGCAATCAAAAATATTGGTTTAATGGAAAGTGGAATTGACTGTAATAAACTGACGAGGGAAAATGGTTCGGCACTGTATCGAGAAAGAACGAAACGATGGAAATATAATTTCAATATATCGAATCCCTTATTGAAACTAAGAAATCGCACTGGCAGGTGAATAATGAGTCAATGGATCGTCTGATTTTAATCCCGCTGATCATTCTTAACTAATAAAAGAGCTTTGATCGCCGTAAAACTTCAGTTATGAGTACCTCTCAGGTTTTATACCGCATTGAGAAATGAAAATGTTTGCTGTAAAGGTGACACTCACTTTGACTGAAGTAGGTCAATTTATCGTGTTCAGTCCTTTCGTGAACATATCCGTCTGGAACTGTGCTAATGATCAAATAATCATTCAGATGTAATTACCTGACGAATCAATACGGTTTCAACACCTTACCACTTTCTGACGAAGAGAAGGAATTTCCGATCGCTTATGGATTATTGATATTTAAAAACGCCATTCAGGTTACTCATTAGCAATCCTTACCCACTTTCTTCTCAACCTTCAGCTGCGATCAATGCAGTAAATCAGCACAAAGAAAATTGCGAGATTTCATTCCTAAAATCATCATTTCTAAAAGATTGCGAGATTTCGAGTCGATTCTTTAAGTGATGTTGATTGAAAGAATTAAGATTTACCATATGATGAGTGCGATTTATCATCCACAGAACGCATATTGCATAGCGATAAGTAATGGAAGCGATGCGGAGTTTAAACGATCAGTCAATTTCATCGGAGAATGCTTCCCGAACGTTCATGTCATGGTATGGTCATGATCACCTTCCATCTGTATTCAAATGTTGTATCAAGCTGTTGACTTATTGACTTGGCAGCATTTTTCAGTCAACAAACGTTTTCTAACGTCACATCATTCCAGTTGGATTTTTCGACAATACACACCATTCATTCTCTGTGCAGCAAACACAATAATGAATTCAAAACAATGCAATTGAAAGAATACAAATTTCCATTTCAATAGATATCTGTAAGAATAAACATATGTGTGATTTCCTGATCATTAATAAAGAATACCTACGTATCATTAAGATTGTAAGTAATGTTCGGTGGGGTGGACACGGTGTTCTGACGGGTGTTCTTGACTGCTTACGTTACCTGGCAGCATCGAAAATAGAATGGAAATATTTTCAGGTTAAATCGTTCATTTGTGACCATTAATGTATTCAAAATTCCATAGCAACTTCCCTTTTCAGCTGCGTTTAACATCTCTGCTTTCAAACAATGTTATTCCTTAGTACATCAGTACTCATTCCAAATGAACACTTTATGATTTGAATAGATGATTAGATGCAAGACATATCATAGACTGGCTTAGGCTTGGTATCATCAAGGACATTCGTGCAAGACTCGCTTTCGAAGAAAAATTTCTCTGCGAGCGGCAATCGAGCCCGTCGAGACTTCGGTAAACTCGACACAACCACTCGTTCGAGGCTGATCGGCCTCCGTAGTAGCTCAAAGGTTGACGTTTCTTGATTCCTCACAGGTTCTATTCCCGCTCGTCAGAAAAGTTTTACTCGATATGGAGTGAGGCGTACTAATGCCCTTTAATGCTTGTTAATTTAAGTTATAAAACTCTGAACACGGATCTGTTAAATGAGAATATTTCAATTAATGGTAATATTTTGATTATTGGACAAAGAATTGAGATCAAAAACATAACATATGCGCGCTTTTCGAATTTTGTGGAATGCGCTAAATACGATACTGTCGAAAAAATTGCCTCCCTATAAGAGATCTGAGCGTTTGGGTGCCTTCAAAAGAATGCCCATAGGTGTTCAAGCAACGAATTGTTGTATCAAAGAAGTCAATTCACAATCGGTATCAACATAGTACAATGCGTCCAACACTATCGGTTGCGTTTGTAAACGCAGCCAATCGATTCCCATAATGAGTTTATCTGCGGTGGATTTCGAACAGTATGATAAATTCAATCCGCTGAATACTTAATGTCATTCACCTACCTGTTGATCATTAACATCCATTTATTAGCAACATTAAATGTAAGCCATTATCATAACACTCTTCTTTTTTTGGACTATTGAAAGGATTCAATCTTACAGTATCTTTCGGGCACTGATCTCCCTCTAAAAACGAATCGTGAAATGGTGAGAATATTCAAGCGTTTGAATGGTACGTTCAATTCAGAAGTGACCGAATTTCAAGAAGGTCGACTCGGACCGAAAAAGGTAAGGAAACGCCCAAACGGGAGTGGATGCAGCAGAAATTATTGCTGTTTGATCGCATATAGCAATTGTGCCAAGAGAACAAAATTATTGAAGATTACTCCGAACTCAAAAACCTATCAAAAACTTGCTGTGTTCTTCAATTGATAGGATCACGAGATTAGCTAACAAGACAAATTCATGCTAGTAGCAATGATATGGGCTGTATAGCTCATATTGACATTTCCAATGGTTTTTGATTCCGTTTCTTCAGCTACATCTGCACATATGTAATTATTACGTAAGTCACCAACCATACCACAAGTGCTGTAAGCGATCAGACAATATAACAAGGTACCCAACTAGGATTTGATGACGTTGGTAATTCAGGGTGTAATACCGCCACATGGAATTCGGTTATTCAAATCGAGTTTGTCGGCAACATTCAGTCGTGAGTCGGCGAATTTTATCGCGAACAGTGCAACGGTGAACGAGCTTGTTGATTACCTTAATGGAACCGACATATCGGATGAAGGCTTCTGGACAACCGTTGCTGGTAATCCTGAAAGTTAGTACTTTCAAACTGACTTGCTGGGCAGATCAGACAGAACAACCTCTCTTAGGTAAAGCTGGCATCATTATCAGCGGTGTTCTGAAAACCATTATTCGACCACTACGATGACGTGCATAAGATGTTTTTGTGAAACGCTTTCGGGAATAAGATTTTAACATTAGCACCATCCTAATAGCATAGTTGAACTGTTATGCTTCAGAAATTCCAATGCCCGGAGCTTTCAATGGGACACGTTTTTTGCAATTCGTTAATGAAATCAGACGCAAACAACGAGAAGAGAATCGAACGGAGAGCACCATGATGCATTACTACATTTCGCGTTATCAAGTATGGACGTCGAAGCCAAATAAATTCTGCACTGGTGAGGAGATTCGCATTTTTAATGCAAAATTATAATCTATTCATATTTCATTCGAGCGTTTCTTTACAATGGAAAATTCGTTCCGAAAACTGATTGAAAAAGATGTGTTTTTGTGAAATAACGCATCATAGAAACGGCATTTCGATCAAGCGAAAAGATTGCAAAATCAATTGGTAGCGATAGCGTTTGCGTGAAACAACAGAAACGTTGAATGCTGATCGTCAATATTTATTCGATGCAGCTTATAAATATTCAGTGATTTTAAAACGTCTAAAACACTTACAATTAGTAAGACAATATTGTGCGAATTAAGTGAGTAACTTTAATTGAAATTAAATATTTTAGAAAATGAAACAGCAAAACATTCGAAGAATTTTTAATCAAAAATAGTTATTTAACAAAACATAATGTCAAAAATTGAAATCAATTTCAAAATAATCCCCTCCAAATCAGCACGATTCATAACCAAGAAAGGTATCCGCAAATGATTAGAAATCGGCTATTTTTGAATTCAACCCTACTGTATCACCAGTCAGATATTTTGTCATTTCTGTCACGGTTTAGAGCCTAATGCTGCCGAGAATGTGATGAAACTTATGGACACACTATTCCACCTCAATGAATATATCGTTAGATTGAAAAGATTTTTTTTTATTGGACGAGAACACTCTGTAAAGTTGATCGTCTCTGGTAGGCCCAATTCACAGGGTAAAAGTAAAGATATGTTCCTAAAGAAAAAATGTTGTGTTGGGTAATGTGTTAACCATCTTGAAACAGAAACGTTAAATTTGGAACATTTCTATATTTAGAAGTCTAACTACTGCATTAGTCTATTTCTTTAATTGTACCACTGAGTGGATTTGAGGAGGATGAAACCTCTTTGAACATTTTGAATTTAGATGATCTGATTCAGCACCATATGTGATAGAAAAATAAAGAGTGATTCATATTGCTTGCTTCCATATGTTATATTCAAATGAAGTGTGCTCCACATTTATGCCTCGTATTGCTTTCAAGAACGATTGACTTGGTTTATTGAGAACACTTTCAGAATATGATTGCCTCTGTTTAGTTCTAGTTACTTTCATAATACAGCTCTTGAAAGCTTTCTTGAAAGGAGGTGGGCTGAAGAGCCAGTGCACATGAGATGTACAACTTCTTGAACACTAATGTTTGTCAGTTGAGCATAATGTTTTGAATTTCTGTCATAAATGCTGAGTGAAATACAAGCTCCTTTGAGAAACAGATTGAGGAACTATCAGGAAAGAATACGAATCAGTGTGCTAAAGCAAATAATATTATTTGATAGCAGCATACTGCATTATATTTGTGTAGTGCATCAGGAATGGTTGAGTTCATTAATGATAATTAAATTAAGTGTATTCTTCTTGTTCCGAACTCACTCTACAGTTCCATGTGAATGATGATAACGAAATTATGAAATTTATGCTACAATATTCGTCTGATTTGCACATCTGGATACAGTTCACTTCATTGATGTATCCTTAATAAGATCGAAGCCGGCCCGAATTCCTGCAGAGCAACAATCACCATCGTTTTATCGGCTTGAAAACGCTTTAATAAGGACACTGATGCAGCCGGGCGTGAAAGGCTGGGTGCGATAAAATGCATTATTGCTATAAATGTTATAAAATGCTATAAATGCTATAAAATGCTCAGATGCTATAAAATGCATTATTTTCTCTCATTCTAGCTGATGTCACGAAAATAAATAGATTCACATAAATTCAAGTCTAAGGCTGGCACAATATTCGTAAATTTATCGAAGGTTGAACGTTAGCGCCAAATCTCTCAGTTCCGTTCATCGTGCGAGGGTTGAAACATTTTAATAAAGCAGTATCCAATCAGATGAATGCATTCGCTATTACTAGTAGCTTATTCTCAGGTAGATCTTTTATAGTCAAACGTATTTCGAAAACAGCTGGCCCGTCCAAGTATATTCGCCTGAATGCGAGTATATTTGCTGACATCAATTAATATACACAATTAATCAATATACAATTTTATTCAGGTACAATTGTCGCCAGTTCATGTGTATACGGAGTTGGTGACATTCCGATTCTACTCCGAAGATACGAACTTGTAGCGCATAAGTTCTATTTGGACTATCAACCAGCTGCTTATTTCTGTGTCTATCAAAAAGTTCGTCAACGAGCCG